CGAACAAGGAATCCACCCTATTAGTTACGCCAAGATACAACACTAACAATCATATCGGGTGCTCAAAGAGAATGGGTCCCAACTGATAGATGTGTCGAACCCCCTGCAAACTCAAGAAGTATCAAATTAAGAAGATGACTCAAATGCTTCGTGGAATGGATATGGCGGACTCTGATAAAGAAGATGGAGGTAATGAGTATCACTAAGGTTTTTACAACATCGTCGTCTTCCGTTTTATCAAAGGAGTCCTGGAGAATTTAAAGTCAAATTAAATATTCCATTTTTTTATGGGCATCTACACATAGAAAACTATTTTGATTGGAAAAAAAGACGTTGAAACTTTTTTTTTTTTTTAATACATGAAAATTGAGACTGATAAGCAAGTGAAATATGTAGCTTGTCAGTTAAGAGGAGGAGCTAGTGCTTGGTGGACTCAACTATTACAGATGAGGCAACATTAAGGGAAAGGCCAAGTACGCAGTTGGATACAGATGAAACAATTATTGCGAGCCCATTTTCTCCCTACTGACTACGAGCAAATATTATACATGAAATATCAACATGGTATCCAAGGTAAGAGTTCCACGAATGACTATGATGAAGAATTTTATAGTTGAGTGCAAGAAACATCCTCAATGAGTCCACTAATCAACTAGTAGCTCAATATATTAGTGGTCTCAAGGAAAACATAAAAGATAAATTGGTGCTGAATTCGATATGGTCTCTATCACAAGCTATACATTTTGCATTGAAGGCAAAAATGCAGCATAATCATTTTGACCGGCTTCACCACAAATGACATCGCTTTCCTAAAATTACATAAGAGGTGAACAGGAATAGTCCATATGTTCTCAAGAACACAAGTGTCGCACAATCCTCCACTCAGGCTGTTCGTGCAAATAAGCAAGCTATAGTCCCTCTAGATAGCAAATCTTAGCTCAAGTTTAAAATAATAGCTAAATACAATCCCTACGTTAAGCCATATACACTTAAATGCTTATGTTGTTTCCAACATGGCCACAAATCCAATAAATATTCGCAAAGGCAACAACTACAGATAGTAGAAGCTAAATAAGGAGATGACACGACTCATATAGAAGTAGAAGGAGAGCAAGAAGTTAAAGGCATTGAAGGGGATGAAGGAGAGCCATTAGTTTGCATCAAGGAGAAATTATTGATTGCCCCTCGACAATCCATTGCTTCTTAGTGCAATGTGATCTTCAGGACATAGTGTACCATTAACAACAAGGTTTGCGACCTTATCATCAAGAGTGGTTGTATTGATAATATAATCTTTAGATCTATTATCCAAGCTCTTTAGCTTAAAACTACAAAAAATTTCCATCCATATAAAATCAATGGATGTAAAAAATCATTTAGTGGGATAAAGGCTTGATGTTGTTGTTGTATAAAATCAATGGGGGTAAAAAAAGTTATGGAGATTCTGTTTACAAAAATGTTTCAAGTAACCTTTTCCATTGAGAAACAATATGTTTGTGATGTTCTGTGCGACATTTTGGAAATGGATGTTTGTCGCCTAATCTTGGGAAAATCATAGCAGTTTAATGTTGGTGCCAATTATGATGGAAGAGCAAATGTATATTCCTTGGAAGAGAAAGGTCGACATCTGTGACTTTTACCAAGCTTAAGCGACAATAAACCATAGGCTATGGGGAAATCCAATTAAACGGTCATTCATATAATCTCTCGGCCAAATTTGCTTCTCACTTGGCAGGATTTATCACCTCTATTTGCCTTAATTGTCATTGAACTAAAATCCTGCTAGAGTAGCCAAGAAGTTCATGACGACATACACAAACTCTTAAACAGCTTCCGAAACATATATCCAAATGAGCTTGCCCCCATTCTCCACTTGCTACGAAGCATACAACACCATATTGACCTTCTTCCCAAAGCCACACTACCTAACCTTCCTTCCTCATTATCAGCTAAATCCAAAAGAGCAAGATATCTTACAAAAAATCATTGATGAGATGTTAGACAAACAACTCATTTAGGCCAGTTTAAGCCTATGCGTCATTCCCACGTTACTTGTTCCAAATAAAAATGGTGAATGGCAATTGTGCGCTAACGGCCGAGTCATTAACAAAACAACTATCAAGTATATATTTCAAGTACCAATAATTGATGAATAAATTGACAAACTTGTCAGTTCTTCCATCTTTTTCAAATTAGATCTCCTCAGTGGGTACCATCATATCAGAATTTGCCTCAACAATGAATGGAAGACGATATGTTAGACAAATAACTCATTCAGGCTAGTTTAAGCCCATGCGTCGTTCCCGTATTACTTATTCCAAAGAAAAATGGTGAATGATAATTGTGCACGGACAACTGAACCATTAATAAAATAACTATCAAGTATGGATTTATAGTACCACGAATTGATAAATTAATTGACAAACTTATATGTTTTTCCATCTTTTCCAAGTTAGATATCCGTAGTGGGTACCATCAGATTATAATTCACCCCAGCAATGAATGGAAGATGTCATTCAAAACTATGCAGTGATTATATAAGTGGAAAGTGATGCCATTCGGTTTATGTAATACACCATCAACCTTTATGAGAATGATGAATGAGGTCCTTCAACCTTTCTTGAGCAATTTTGCTTTGTTTACTTTGATGATATTGTAGTTTATAGTGACAATTTGGAACAATATATTTGTCATATCACTACCATTTTGGAGATTTTAAGACAATACAAAATGTTCCTTAACCTACCAATATGTGAATTTTCTAATTCCACCGTCCATTTCCTTAGCTTTATCATGTCTCAAGAGGGAGTCCATATAAATCAGAAGAAGGTGGTTACCATTGTAGATTGGCCAAGCCTATGTTCCTTCTTTGACTTTTGGAGTTTCTATGGTTTGGAAAACTTCTAACATAAATTTATTAAAGGATTCAATATTATCATGGGTCCTATAACGAAGTGCTTAAAACTCAACTTTTCAATGGGGCATTGAACATCAAAATAGTTTTGAGGCCATTAAAAAGATTTAATCTCAATTTCAGTTCTAGTGATTCACGGCTTTGACAAACTCTTCATTGTGGATACTGATGTTTCTTCTATTGGTATTGATGTTGTGTTGTCCCAAGAAGTGAGACTTGTAGCTTATTTCAATGAAAAAATATGTTTGGTAAGGCAACGATGGTTGGTGTATGAATATGAATTATATGCATTAGTTTGCGCACTAAAACAAGGTGAGCTTTACTTATTACATCAAGACTTTATTATCTGCAATGACAACAAAGCTCTCCAATACATAAACAGTTAAAAAATTATTAACATAATGTATGCCCGTTGGATAACGTTTCTCCATAAAATTTCTTTTATCCTGAAACATAAATCGGACCAACATAATAGGGTGGCATATGCACTTAGCTGAAAAGTTGTTATTTTAACTCAGCTCCAAACAGAAATCATGGGTTTGGAATGCCCCAAGGAACTATATGCTACTGACCCAGAATTCAGTGAAATCTGGCATCAATGTTTGCGCACTAATACTATGAATGACTACTCTATATGCTATGTGTTCATGTTTTCACCCCAACCTACTATGTATCCTGGTGTCTTTATGGCTTCACCACCTGTTACACGAGGCTCATTGCGAAGGTCTAGCTGCACAAGCCAGTCGTGACAAGTCCCTGACTAAATTGAAATCACATTTTTTTCCTTTCCCACGTCGTGACGTCTTCCAATTTTGTAGACCGTTGTTCTATCTATCAAAGTTACAAGGGAGGAGCCCAAAACATTGATCTTTACTTACCATTGCCTATACCATATTCAATATGAGAAGACCTCAGTTTAGATATCATTTTAGGTCTAACAATGACCGCGGAAACGACTCGATCATGATAGTAGTCGATAGATTTTCCAAGATGGTGCATTTCATCTCATGCAAGAATACATTTTTCTCTTTGCATAATTCCTTTTCATGAAATTGTTCATTTACATGGGATTCCCCAAAGCCTAACTTCTAATCGAGATGTCAAATTCATAAGCCATTTTTGTCGCAAATTGTGGAAACGGTTGGATATTGACTTACGTCTCTGCTTATTATTCGTAATCGGATGACCATACCAAAGTTGTTGATCGCACCTTGGGGAATATGCTTTGATATTTACTGTAGGAATATCCTAAACAATGGGAATCCATGCTGAGCATCGCCGAATTTGCTTCGAACACTATAGTGAATCATTATACTGATAAGTGCCATTTCAGCATTGTTTATACCAAATTACCTAACATAGTCTTGGACATTGTTGTGCTCCAAAAATATATACACGTCAGGGGTTACTGACACTTTTACCAATCAATACACTTAGATGCTTACTGAAGTCCACCAACAACTCAACAAATCCAATTAGCATTATAAAGAAGCAGCCAACCTTCATCGCAAATATAAACTTTTTTAGTTGGGCGATCTCGTGATGGTTAGAATGCGATGTGAACGATTCCTTTAGGGAATTTACTCAAAATCGAGTTGCCGTAAAATCGGGCTTGTTCCTATCATCACAAAGATCAACGACAATGTGTATACAATTGCATTACCAGCCTAGTATAATACATCTCCTACATTCAATTTCTTCGACATTTGGCCCTACCAACCTCGAGACGACTCTCCTATTACAATAAGCTCGTCGGAGTTGAGCTCTTTAGTAATTTTAGTTAGATCTTAGAACAAAACCCTTACTATTAAAAATAAGATAATTCTTTATATTTAACAAGATCATATTTTTTTTTTATTAAATCAAATTTATATACCCACTTTAAAAGAAAAATAAAAAATTATTCTTATTGATTTTTTCTTAAATTATGCCAAAAATATTATTATAAATTTTTTATAATTTTAAATAATATATTTATATTGAGATAAATATTATATATAAAAAATGTAAAAGGGTCAAATAAAACTCTTATATATATATATATATATTATATTCAGAGATAGAACTATAAAAATTTTCGATTCCCACCCGCAATCTACTCTGGTAGACTATTCACCTAATGCAGTTATAATGGAGAGCTTGACCCGTGTCTCGCTCGAGTGGTCGGTCTCTAGTGACGAAGAAATAAGCAGCTTGACGTCCAGAAGCTGAGAAGAAAATTCTTTCTCCCGCTTAATTCTCTTCTGCAGACGGGCAAGGGGAACCCTATACCTCACACGAAACCAGATCATCGGTGATTGAATCTCCCGTCTCGTTGGATCCGAGGTGCAATGGCGTTCCAGGAGGCGATCAAACATTTTACTGCGCTGATGGACGAAGGTCGGGGAAGTTAGTTCGATATCTTTTTTTTTTCTTGGTGAATATAGTGGGAAGTTGACTTGTTCGTTTGATTTTCCACCTTATTTTGCGGGATATTTTGTTTTGCAGTGAACGAGCAACAGAGGGCTACGTTCCAGGTTCGTGATCTGCGCTAGATCTGTGCATTGTTTCTGCTTATCGTGTGAGCTTTGTTGATTGTTGCGTTTGAGTGTCTTGTTTGGTTATCTGAAGCTGGATGTCTTGATTGACTTCCGATTAGTTGAGATGTCTGAGGTTTTACGATTTCGGTTGAGGAAATATGCTGCATTAGCTGATCTGCTGAGTTGACTCATTGATTAAATTTCCTTGTGATCGGTTTCGGATTGGGTTGGAGGGTTTTTCAGTTTCGTATGGTTTTGGATTTGATTGTTTTATTTGTTATGTATGGTGGAATTTAGGGGTAGTGGTTGTTGATGATATAATTTGGAGATTTACTCTCTTGTTGTTTTGCGGAGATCTATAAACCGGTATGTAACTTAGAAATTATGTTTGAACACGATTGAGTTTGTTTTTTTCTGTTAGATGAGTACCGTGCGTTTGATTCTTGCTATGTGGCGATCAGCTGGATGCCATATTAAAGTTGCTTTAAATTGTGATTGTGTGTACTCCACTGGAGTTTTTGGCTTTTCTTGCAACTAGCATATAGGAAAACGTTTCTGGAAAAGCAATCTTTCTGAATTAGTGGAAACTAGTGCTTAGTTGTGCTGTTAGCATATATACCTCATGGAAAGCCTAATCTGCACTTTAAAACTTTTGCATTAATTTTGCGTCAGACACTTCTGATGAGCTGTTTTTAATAGCCAAAATGGTCATCAAGTTCTTTTGGTATTATAACGTTCTGTAGCATATTGCAGCTGTGTGTATAAATGTACACATTGCTATAGCTAAACTAAGTCATCGAGGCAATTACCAAAATATATCCGAATTACAAGGAATCACACAAAAATCATTGTTGGGCTAAACTCATGATGTAGCTGAGCCATGTAGCATGGCATGTTTTGGCTGCCCTAATGAAGTTTGCCCAGTCCTGATTGTAACATAGGTGTTTGGATGAGGTGTAACCAATCTTGCTGGAGCCTCCTTGATTGGAGGGAAATTTGTGGGGAAAGCCTTTTTAGTTCGCTAATTAAAATTTTTTTAAAAGATTCCAAAAATATCAAAGGAGGAATATAATTGACTGACTTCATGACCAAACTTCTATACCCTCTTTTCCCATGATGATAAAGAAATAACATTAGAGTGTGATTCTGTGCATGAAATGCTCTATCATTCTCTAATGAAATGTGACGATGTACCCATGTTTGGTCCATCATAAGTGGATTGGGCTTATGGTTTTACTAGCCTATTGTCAAGGAAGTATGAATTTAAAAATAGTTGTGACCTGTGTTGCAAAATTGAAAAGCATTAATGCTAATTATGCTTGTAAATTTTTTCCCTGCAACTATTGATTTCATGATGAGTATCTTGTTTTCTTCAATCGCAGAACATTCATCAGGGATATCCATCTGATGCCATAGTCCGGTTTCTGAAGGCCAGGGAGTGGAATGTTCCAAAAGCACATAAGATGGTAGGTCTACCTCTTGTTAACTGTGGGTCATTATCCGCTACATCATAATAATCAAGATGACTTCTTATTCTATTGTTTCTCATTTGCATTGCAGCTTATGGATTGCTTGAATTGGAGATTGCAAAATGAAATTGACAACATATTGTCTGTGAGGACTAGCCCAACACTTTAACTTTATGCCATTGAGTATCTTTGTCTGTTCACAGTTTTTTATTTAATCATGAAACACATTTATTGACTATTTTTTTCCCCCTTCAACTTAACTATCAAGTTGTTAACTTCAGTTTTAGCAAGTTCGCTTGTGAAAGAATAGTGGCTGGTGATGCAATGAGGTTTCTTTAGTCTCATTCATCATGAGTCTGTTTTGCGTGAGTCTATTTTGTGTTTGTTTTTATTTGTATTTAAATTAGTTATTAGCATAATTATTATGGGTATATGCCTATTAGTAATGACAATAATCAATTTGAATTCAAATAATGATGAACACTAAAAAAGCTGATGACCAAATATTAAAGGAACTTGCATTGTATCAATAGGTTTTTGTTGCTTCTGTGTATTTTATATGCAAAAATTAGGAAGGTCATTTTTGTAGCTTGAATTTGCAAAATAAATGCCAATAATACAAAGAACTAATTAAAATCAATTTTTTGGGTGAGCAAGACTGAATGCGTGTTAGTTACTAGTAAGAACTGCTGTATTTCTACTAGTAAATTAGTGTTTTAAAATAGGTGCCAGTGGATTATGCCACCTTTGCTGAATTGCTTATATCTGTTATACATTTTTTTAGAAACCTATAGTCCCAGTTGATTTATATAGAGCCGTGCGAGATTCACAGCTTATTGGAGTATCAGGATACTCTAAGGAGGTAAGCATTCTTTTTGAGTCTTTTACCATTGATGCTCTATATTTAATCATTAATAAAGCATAGTTCATAGTTTTATCAACTTAATTAATTTTCTTTGCAAGCTAGCAACATGCTTGTATTTTTCTTTACAAGGTAAATCCTTAGTGAGTTCTAATCTGGAAGGCTTACAATCTAGATGCTGGAACTTATCTTACTATTCTTCTCCTTCACTTTCAGGGCCTTCCTGTCTTTGCAATTGGTGTTGGACAAAGCTCATTCGATAAAGCATCGGTATGGATTTTTAGCTTATAAGCTGTTTGTAAATTTATAACTATTCTTTGCCCACATCATTTAGAGGTGCCAAGCCCATGACAAGTATTGGTTATAATATCTTGAGATTCTTTTTTAAGTTTTCTTATGTCTTGGCTGGGGAAATGTAGGTCATTTTAGGTTCTAGGATTTTCTAATACAAATTTAGGATGAGCTGTGCAAAGAAACACAAAATTACAATTTATAGTTTCCCAGCTTTTAATTTACTAATTTTTCTTAATGCAAAATTTGAAAATATATTTCATTAATTCCAAATTATGAAATAAAAGTTGTCAGAATTTGAAATTCTATAAGACACACGAGAATGAATATAAAATTGCACAATAGTTAAGATCCACAACATAAAAAAGGGAACTGATATGTCTCAAACTTAGAATATTACACAAACCAAATTACAAAATAGTTTAGAAGAAAGAATATGGAGAGAAATCAGCAAATGAAAATCCAATTCACTTCGATATCAGGAAAATTATCCCTTTGAAGTTGTCATCAATATTATAAAGTGGTCGAGGAATTTAGATCCTATAGCACACATATAAGTTTGTATGGAAGTAGAAATTTTGTTCAATAACTTGTAAATTACATGCCGTAGAGGTTGTATTTATAATGCAAAAGGACCCAACATCAATAGCTTCTTGAAATTTTCCAAGATCTAACCCAAAACTATATGTTTCAATTCAATCAAACATACAACAACAACAACAACATCAAGCTTTTATCCCACTACGTGGGGTCGGCTATATGAATCCTTTTTCTCCTTTGCGTCCTATTAAAAGTCAAATTATCGTTTAAATCTAATAAAGAAAGGTCATTCCTAATATTTTCTAACCAAGTCTTTTTAGGTTTGCCTCTACCTTTCTTAACATAAGTCAAATCTAATACCTCTACTCTCCTAACCGGGTCATCGAAAGACCGTCGTTTTATGTGACCAAACCATCTAAGGAAACTCTCTCTAATCTTATCTTCTACTGGAGCTACACCAACCTTTTCACGTATATGCTCATTTCGTATCCTATCTCTAAGGGTAAAGACACTCATCCACCTAAGCATCCTCATCTCTGCCACACTTAACTTAGTATTATGCTTCTCTTTTAATGGCCAACAACTGAAATAGGGAAATACTTGGTCAAACCACCTTGTGTTTGAACACAAGTAATAGCTCATGCATACATATCTTTAATGATTTGAATACAAGCGTTATTAACTCCTTTCTTTTCAAGAACTCTCAATAGCACTTCTCTTGGAACTTTATCATATACTTTTTCTAATTCAATTGTCTAGTGAAAACTTTATCATATGCTTTCAGTTCAATCAAACATAAAAAAACAAAATTTTCAATCTTTCCTTTCAAATCCATCTCCAAGACGGCCATTCACAGTTTCTAGTTATAGTAAAGATCACAAGAAGAGAAGGCTAATAATGCAGGAAAAGGGAAGGTCGTACAAGAAAATTTGCATGGGGCAAGCAGTAGAAACTTTTACTTACGATCCAAGCTACAGTAGTGAGTATCACATATGGAAGGAATCAAGTAGTAATCAACTGTCTTCTATTAACAGGACATAAAACTTCATTTGCGGTCTGAACTATAGCACAATTTCAGGAAAGCCATGGAAGAATGGCAACTTATACCTTCATCATATTAGAGAACATAGAGAGTGTTGTAGCCATACTGGAATAAGAGTTTTAAGCTTGTATTGTACTTGATGAGGGTTGAATTGTGATGGACCGGCTGAGCCGGTCTAGCCAATCAACCTGGCCCCAGCAAGGGGGGCAGTCTAGCTGGCAGGGGAAAGAGTTTTGTGGGCTTCGCTAGTCTGGGCGGAGAGCAAGGAGAGAGGGGGGCTCAAAGGGGATTAATTTTACCTTTAATTACTTGTCATAGAAAATCAAAATTGGGAGGGAATTAAGATGATTTATTTAGGAAAAGAGGGCTGATTTGAATTCAGATTTGGGAGGGAACTAAAAAAGTTTATTTAGGATTAATTGTTGATTTATTTTTATTATGAGATTTTGTGTTTTGGAGTAATTTTCTTTGAAGTTGTTCCTAACGGAGCCTATATGATCCAACCTTTATTGCAATTAATTTCTTTAAAGCCTACGGAAGAAACCTCTTAGGATTCTGATGCATTATTACCAATATCACGTATTTTGAACTTCACTAATTTTCAATTTACATCAGCAACAAACTCATAATTGTTATGATTAACAATTAATTTTCTATAAATGTTCTCGTGCCAGCCATGTATATGTTATGCAAATTCTTCTTCACATGCATTAGGTTTGAACTTAACAGGAAGCTCAACAAGATTTATGGGTTTTCTAAGTTGATACCTTGCAATAATTTCAAGTGTAGTCATACCTCTAGTTCTATTAATAGATTAATTGTAAATAAATTAAGCCATTATTAGTATTAAATTCCAACTAGATGAGTGTTCTTTATTTAGACATTGAAATAGATCCCCCAAACGACTCCTATTAAAAATCTCAAAATGTCCATCTATTTGTGATTGTTAAGAAATTGAAGGTTGTAAGGTTCATATTTTCTTCCATAAAGTCTTTCAAGAGTAGCTCATGAATTTTGCATCTCTATTAGATACAATAGTTTCAGCTAATCCATGCAATTTACTTACATTATTGAATTCATTTTTCATATGTGAGATGCATCAACAAATTTAAAATGCGGAATAAAAGGAGTCATTTTAGAAAAAAAGGCTCAACTAATATAAAGATGGAATTATGTTTCTTTGGAGTTTGTGGTAATCCTAGAACAAAAATACCTACATCCTCACAATGCTTATATGGACTATGCAATGGTGTGTAAAGTTTAGTATGATGTTACTTTCCTTTTACTCTTTGTCTAGTTCTATATCGAGAAACCATGCGTGCAATAAATCTTTTTAAGTAGGGCTAGTAATAGCTATTCTTAGTTATTGATATAGTTTTATCATGATAAAAATGCCTTGCAACACTATCAATAACTCTAAGAGAAGAAAATTCCGCAAAGATGATTGAGGATGCAAAGTTAAGTTCCCTTAAAAAGAAAGAAATGCTTAATCATGAAAACCTTGTTAAGCATAAGTGGCTCATTAATTAGATTAAGATACATCTCATTGAAATCTCTATAATTTGTATACTATTCGTTAATGTGAACCAAGTTTGTCATCTTTACTTACATAGTGTGTAAAATAACAACTCTACTTAAGGCATTCACATTTTTATTTTTATTTTAAGCATAGTATTTTAGCACAAATGTATATTCTTATTGAAATTCAACCACTCAGCATGACTATGTCCAAATATTTTTGAGCGCTTGGATGTTTTAAGACATGATGATCACAATTTAGGGCATAAAATCGAAGTGATTGAGCAATGACATAAAATTCCATATCATAATTTAAATGATTTGGTTTTGCTTCATTTAACTTCTTACTGAATTATGCAATTGTTGTCCAACTTGATTCATAACTAGGGGTGTAAGTAAGCCGAGCTGGCTCGAGCTCGACTCACAAGCTTATCGAGCCATGAGTTCGAGTTCGCGATTCTATGTTAAAATATTAAAATTTTGAAAAAAATAAAAAAAAAATAAATTTAAAACTAAGAAATAGAGCTCAACAATCGAGTCGAACTCGAGCTTTCTAAACGAGCTCGAGCCTATGAATTTTTTAATAAGTCGAGCTTGAGCTTAGTAAACGGACTCGAGTTGAGCTCAGTAACAACTAAACAAGCTTTAACTCGATTAGACAGATACTCAACTCGTTTACACTCTTACTCATAACTCTTTCCATCTCAACACCAAATTTCATCACAAGAAATCTTGCAATTTTTTTTTAAAATTGGGTATAGTCCAAGCATAAGTGTGTTTGTAAGGCTCTATTTAAAATTGTTGAAAGTATGAATAACAAATTATTTTTCATTTAATTTACTTTTTCTCAAGACAATTTTTTTATCATGTTAGTACAAACCTCTTTCATGAATTGTCTATAAAAATTACAAAATCATGAAAACTTCAAATATTATGAATGTTTGTAGGTGTGTTGACCCATTCTTAATTGCCTTAACTTTATCAAGTCAATGGATAAACCATAAGTAAACGTAATAAATCTTAAGAATATGATAGATGGTGTAACAAAACAACATTTATTCAATTTAGGTATAATTTCTTAGATTTCAATTTCTTCAAGTCCTTTCTAAGATGTACTAATTGTCCTCCTTGTTAGGGGTGTCAATATTGGACCCGACCCGAAAATCCGACTCAAAAACTCGACCCGAACTAAAAATTTCGGGTTTGGGTTGACCCGAACCTAAAATGGGTCGGGTTCAGGTTCAATAATTCGATCCATTTCAAAACCCATTTTGACCCCGCAACCGGAGATTGACCCGTTTTTGACCCGAAAAGCGGAGTTTGACCTATTTTTGGATCCGAAAACTAACAATTTTTTGTCCGACCCGGGTCATTCGGGTTGGGTCAGGTTGACCCGGACCCAAAGCGGGTCGGGTTCGGGTCCAAAAAACCGACCCGTTTGCAGAAACGGGTCGGGTTTGGGTTGACCCGAATAGTGCAAGGTCAGTTTTGGGTTCGACCCGAACCCGACCCATGACCCGAAATTGACACCCCTACTCCTAGTTTCCTATAATTTAGAGTATCATCGAATATATAGTAAGTTCTACATGAAAAGTCAAAGAACATTGTTTATGATTCTTTGATGGATCGCTCCCACCTAGACCGGTCAAGGATTGGTTTAGCCAGGATGATTCCCGCCCTTGTTGGGGTGGGGCCCAAGGGAAAATTCAAATAGGAGGAGAGGAAGGGGGGGGGGGGGAGGGGGAGGCGAGAAAAGATGGAGGGGAGGGGGGGGGGGGGGGGGGGGGGGGGGGGGGGTGGTTAGGATTGAGAGGGAATTTAGGGAGGGTTGTTTTAGGATTTGGCTTTGTTATTGTATTCTTTTAGAAAGTTGTTTATC